CCCCCCGCGGGGGCCCCCCAGGGGGCCCCCCAGGGGGCCCCCGAGGCGGGGGAGTGCCCGGGGGGCCCCGGGGGCCCCGGGGGCCCCAGCAGAGTCGCGCTGCAGGTGCTGGAGCAGCTGCTGCTGGGCTCTCCAGCTTGTTTGCTGCGGAAGGCTTTGGCCCAGAGCGGGCTGGGGCTGGCTGTGTATGCCCCTGGGCTGGACTTGGATCTGAAATACGCGCAGTTCACTGTGGGGCTGAAGGGTCAGTGGCCGCTAGCTAGCTAGCTAGCTAGCTAGCCAGCTGGTTGGCTGGGGGGATAGCTAGCTGGGCAGATAGGCGGCTAGCTGGGTAGATGGGTGGCTAGCTAGCTGGGTTTAGAGGTATCTGGCTGGGTAGATATGTTGGTGGGTATGTGGATGGCTGGCTAGGTGGCCGGCTAGCTAGCTAGCTAGCTAGCTAGCGAAGTGGGTGCATAACTAGTCAGCAAGTAGCTAGCTAGCCAGCTAGCCAGCCAGCGAGCCAGCCAGCTAGCCAGCTAGCCAGCTAGCTAGCTAGGTGGGTAGGTAACGGGGCGCGTGGGGTGATTGGGTTGAGGGTTTTGTTTCTTGCTGCTGCTGCACTTTGTGCGCAGAAGTGCCGCAGCAGGAAGGCGCAGCAGCAGCAGTGGAGCGTTTGGTGCTGCAGACTTTGGAAGCAATTGCTGCTAAAGGGTTTTCTGCTGCAGAAATCGAAGCAGCTTTTAACAGAGTGGACTTCAGCTTGAGAGAAACTCCCCGCAAAGACCTCCCCAGGGGTCTCATTTTCTCCCGGCGCATGGCCGAGGAACTCAACTACAACAGGGTCCTGCTGCTGCTGCTGCTGCTGCTGCTGCTGTTGCTGCTGTTGCTGCTGCTCTTTCTGTGGGTGCTTTCTGCGGCTGCTGTTGCTGCTGCTGCTGCTGCTGTTGCTACGGCTGCTGCTGCTGCGCGGAGCCCTTGGAGCCGTATTTGGAGCTGCAGCCAAACTGGTTTCTCTGCCGGTTTTCGAAGATGCATGCAGTTGCATGCATGCAGCTGCATGCAGTTGCATGCATGCAGCTGCATGCAGCTGCATGCAGCTGGAGGCTTTGGGGCTTTTGCTGCTGCTTCCTCCGCAGGACCCTTTGGGGGCTCTCGAGTTTGAACAGGACATTTGGCGGCTGCGGGTGCGGCTGGCAGCGGGCGAGAAGGTCTTCGAGACTATGGTCAAGGAGTAGGGCCTGCTGCTGCTGCTGGTGCTACTGCTGCTGCTGCTGCTGGTGCTACTGCTGCTGCTGCTGCTGCTGTTGCTGCCGTTCTTGGGGCCGTTGTTGCTGCTGCTGATACTGCCGCTGCTGCTGCTGCCAAGGAGCCAGGAGCTGGCGGCCTTCGGTTGTTGCTGTTTCTGCCGCTGCTGCTGCTGAGAAGGCTCGGGCGCCGCTGCACCGGCAGCCAACAGCAGCAGCAGCAGCAGCAGCAGCAGCAGCAGGACGCTGCTTTTTTTGCTGAGCAGCAGCTTTGGCTGCTATTGGTTTTGTTCTTTGCAGACTTTTGCTGGAGAATCCCCACCGCGTGACTTTGCGCATGAAGAGCAGCGCGAAATATGCAGAGCAGGTGGCAGCAGAAGAGCGGGCAGCACTGGCAGCAGCAGAAAAGGAAATGGGAGTTGAAGGAATTCGCCAAGTCGCCAAGGAACAAAAAGCCCTCAAGCTGCTGCAGGTGACCCCCCAAACACAGCCAAACTGCAGCAGCAGCAGCAGCAGCAGTAGCAGCAGTAGCAGCAGCAGCAGCAGCAGTAGCAGCAGTAGCAGCAGCAGCAGCAGCAGAATGGATGCCGGGAAGTAGAGAATGAGTAGACTGCAGCAGTAGCAGCAGCAGCAGCAGCAGAGAGGCAGCAGGTGCGCAAGTTGAGCAGAAGGAGTAGAGTGGCGGGGTGTCTAGACAGCCTGCTGCTGCTGCAGTCTGTTTGCTGCAGGTGACTCCTCCGCCTCCAGAAGCTCTCGCGTCTTTTCCGAATCTTGCAAGAGAAGACATTGACCCAGTGCGCGCTTCTCTCGCTGCTGCTGCTGTTTTGCTGCTGCTGCTGCTATTTCACTGCTGCTGCTGCTGCTGTTTTGCTGCTGCTGCTGCTGTTCCACTGCTGCTGCTGTTGTTTCACTGCTGCTGCTGCTGCTGTTTTGCTGCTGCTGCTGCTGTTCCACTGCTGCTGCTGCTGTTTCACTGCTGCTGCTGCTGTTTCACTGCTGCTGCTTCTGTCTTCTGCTGCTGCTGCTGCGTGCGTGGCAGCAGCAGCAGCAGCAGCAGCAAAGTGAGTGCTGGGGGGTGTTTTTGCAGGAGGGGAAGGAAACTCCGGTGTCAGTGTCTTTGCTGCTGGGGGCCCCAGTGGTGCAGCACGAGCTGCCAAGCGGGGGGCTGCTGTACGCAGCAGTGGGGCTTTCGCTGGCGGATTTGGCTGTGGGCGATTTGCCCTATTTGCCGCTGCTGTGCCGTTTTGCTGCTGAGGGGGGCACTTTGCTGCTGCCGCCCGAGCTGCTGCTGCCTCTTGCTGCTAGAGTCACTGGGGGCCTTTCTGCTGCTGTTTCTTTTCGCCTCCGCCCCGACGCCCCCTTCACTGTCCCCCGCCCTTACAACGCCAGGGGGCTCTTCTTGCTCTCCGCCAAAGTCAGACCCTGCTGCTGCTGCTGTCGCTGCTGCTGCTGCGGCTGCTGGTCTTGCTGCTGCTGTTGCTGCTGCTGTCGCTGCTGCTGTTGCTGCTGCTGTTGCTGCTGCTGTCGCTGCTGCTGTTGCTTCTGCTGTCGCTGCTGCTGTTGCTGCTGCTGCTGCTGCTGCTGTCGCTGCTGCTGTTGCTGCTGCTGTTGCTGCTGCTGTCGCTGCTGCTGCTGCTGCTGCTGCTGCTGCTGGAGCGGTGGCAGGGGGCCTTGGGCGTTGCTGCAGGCGACGAAGTCGCGCGTGGGGGCGCTGTGGTGCCTGCTGCATGCAATTCTGGTGGAGTTGGACTTCTCGGACAGCAAGTTGGGGCTGCAGTTAATCAAAGAGTTGATTTCCGAAAGATTGAAATCTTTTCGAGAAAGAGCTTTCCAAACTGCCAGAGTCTTCGCCCGCAGCGCCTTCAGCCTCGAGGCCCTCATGTTCGAACGCACCTACGGCTACCACAGCCTCCAGTTCTTCCGCCAACTCCTCAAACAGGTCCTAAACACAACACCTCGGGAACGTTTAGGGGCCCCCAGGGGCCCCTGGGGGCCCCCGGGGGCCCCCGGGGGCGCCCGGGGGCCCCCAGGGCTCCTGGGGGCCTCGGGGGGCCCCAGGAGGTCTTTGGGGGGTCTTGGGGGGCCCCAGGGGGCCTTGGGGGCCCTCAGGGGATCTTGGGGGTCCCTACCAGGGGGTCTTGGGGGCCCTGGGGCCCCCTTGCGGGGTCCCAGAGGGCGGTGGAGGGACCCCTGGGGGCCCCAGGGAGGCTTTAGAGCGTCTTGGGGGGCCCGAGGGGCCCCTGGGGTCTCCCGGGGGCCCCTGGGGTCTCCCGGGGGCCCCTGGGGTCTCCCGGGGGCCCCTGGAGTTGCTTTAGAGGGTCTTTCGAGGGGTTTAGTGGTGCAGCGGGGGTTTGGGCTAGGCGTGGTGGGCCCCCCAGGGGTACTTGGGTACTTGCCGTGTCTAGGGGCCCCTTGCTGCTGCTGCCTTGAGCAGCAGGTGCGGGGCTGAGAGCTGCGCTGCTGCTGCTGCTGCTGCTGCTGCTGCTGCTGCTGGGCGTTTGCTGCAGGCAGAGGCAAACTGGCCCGCAGTGGCGGAGCGTCTGGAAGCAATTCGGAGACTTTTGCTGCGGCGCGAAAACCTTATTTTGGATGTTACTGGAGATGCAGCAACTCTATGGGAGGCCCTCGAAGGGGAGGGCAGGGGGCCCCTCCTGGGCCTCGTGGGGGCCCTTCCCGAGGGCCCCTCTGCAGCGGTGGTACCCTGGGGGCCCCCCCGGGCGGGGGCCCCCGAGGTGTCGCTGAGGGGGGCCCCCCGGGGGGCCCCCCAAGGGTCGCTGCAGGAGGCCCCCCAGGAGGGGGGCCCCCAGGGGGGGCCCCAAGGGGGGGCCCCCGAGGAGTCCAAAGAACTTGTTCGAGGAACTTGGATGACAGCAAGAGTTGATAGGGAGCCTTTGTGGGCCAAGGAGGCGGAGCAGCAGCAGCTGCTGCAGTGGGGGGGCCAGACGGCCTTTGTGCTTCCCCTGCAGGTGAGCAGCAGCAGCAGCAGCAGCAGCAGCAGCAGCAGCAGCAAGTTTGTTTTGGGATTTTGGAGAAGAATTAAAAGAATTAAGAGGCAGCAGAAAGGGAATAGTGCAGTTGGAAGATTAAGATTCATGTTTGTGAAAGATTAATGGGAGGAAAGAAACAGCAAAAAGATAAAAGCAGAAAAGTATAAAAGCGGTGTGAAAATTTAATAAATTAATTCGGGGATTATGGCAAAGGGAGATAATGAAATAAAAAGGAGAGACAAAAAGGATTAAATGAAAATAAAAAAGTAGAAACAAAGAGTTAAATGGGAATAAAATGGGGATAGAAAAAGGGAATAAAAAGAGAATAAAAGGGGAAATGAAGAAGGAATTAAAAGGGAATAAAAAGGGAATTAAAAGAGAATGAAAAGAGGATAAATAGGAAATAATAAAACTAAAGAGAGGTTTAAAAGAAGATAAAAGGAGGGAAAGGAGAAAATAAAACGGGATAAAAGGAGAATAAGAAGAGAATTAATAAAGGATAAAAAGGGGATAGAAACAGAATAGAATGAGGAGTAGAAAGGTAATAAAGGAGGATTAAAGAATAAAAGGAGAATAAAAAGAAAAGAGGTAAAAAGAAAATAAAGTTTTAATAGGAGTTAATAAGAGACAATGCGAGCTAAGAAAGGATAATAAGTGATGAGAAATAACAAGAAACAGCAAGAAACAGAATAGAAGACAGCGGAAAGCAGCAGCAGCAGCAGCAGCAGCAGCAGCAGCAGCAGCAGCAGCAGCGGGTGCGCGTGCTGCTTTGCTGCAGGTGAGCGACATGGCGTGCGTGCTGCCGCTGGGGCCCCCGGGCTCTGCGCTGCCGGGCAGTTTGCTGCTGCTGCAGTCTGCTGTTGAGCTGCTGCACCTTTTGAAGCAAATCCGCGAAGTCCGCGGGGCCTACGGGGCCTGGGCCAGAACTCAAGACGGCCTTTTGGCTCTAATGACTTACAGAGACCCAAAGCCTGGACAGTCTCTCGAGACCTTCCGCACTTCGGGGGTCTTTGCCCATTCCTGGGCCTCGGGGGCCCCCGAGGGGGCCCCCGGGGGGGCCCCCGGGGGGGCCCCCGCGGGCGCGGAGGCCCCGGGGGGGGCCCCCGCGGGGGCCCCCGGGGGGGCCCCCGGGGGGGCCCCCGGGGGGGCCCCTGGGGTCTCGGAGGAACAGCTGCTGGGGGCCCTTCTGAATGCTGTGGCTTTGATGGACAGGCCCGTGGGGCTGGAGGCGAGGGGCCCCCGGGCGCTGCGGCAGCTGCTGGACGGGGAGGGGGCCCCCCACCGGAGGGCCCACAGGGCCCAGCTGCTTGCTGCGGGGGCCCCCGAGGTTGCTGCAGCAGCAGCACTTCTCAGCGAGGCCCTCCAGGGGGGCCCCCAGTCGCTTGTCCTTGTGGGGCCCCCCGAGGCCGCCAGCCAAGTCGCCAGCCACACCGTGGGGGACCTTACCCGCATTCGCGTCGAGTGAGCTAGCCAACGGCTAGCCAGCTAGCCAACAGCTCGCTAGCTGCAAGCCAGCAGCTAGCTAACGAGCTAGCTAGGGAACTAGCTGGCTAGGGAATTGGCCGGCTGACTAGCCAGCTAGCTAGGTAGCTATCTGGCTAACTAGCTAGCTCGCCAGGTAGCTCCCTAGTTGGCCGGCTAGCTAGCTGGCTGGCTAGCTAGCTAGCTGGCTAGCTAGCTAGCTAGCTAGCGGGCTAGATGTTCGTTGCGTGAGGAGTAGTGAGGCGAGGGCTTCGGAGCATTGGCTTGGAAAAAGACGGAGACAGAGCGCCAACAGTGCGCCAAGAGGGGTCTAGCTAGCCAACAGCTAGCCAGCTAGCCAGCCAGCTAGCCAGCTAGCTAGCCGGCAACCTGTAGAGGGCGCCGCAAGCTAGCTAGCGCTGCAAACGCAGCAGCAGCAATACTGAGAGTTTCCTGCGGGTCCGTTTTGGCGGCAGCAAACAGAAACCCGGAATTCTTGACACATCAGAGCCCTGCTGCTCAAGCTAGCTGCCGGCTAGCTGCCGGCTAGCTGCCAGCTAGCTGCTGGCTAGCTGTAGGGAGCTAGCTCTAGAATGCGTAGCTAGCTGCAGGCATCGCACCGGTCAGGGCTCTGAAGTTTCGGCTGCTGCTGCTGCTTCCCCAGGCAACGGCGGCTGAAGGCAGCAGCAGCAGCAGAAGCTAGCAGCAGCAGCAGCAGCAGCAGCTAACAGCAGACAAAGAAAGCCTCCTAGAGCTATGGCTGCAGGAGTAGTGCCACTCCAGACACAAGGAGCCGCAGCAGCGACTACAGCGCAGCCCTGGGCTCAGCAGCAGCAGTCCAGATAGGTGGTGTTCTAGCTAGCCAGCTTCCTGTATATAGCTAGCTAGCTAGCTAGCTAGCTTGCAGCCTGGCCAGCTAGCTAGCCGTCTGGCTAGCTAGCTAGCACCCTTTGAGGCCCCGAGGGCCCCTGGGGCCCTTGCGAAGCACCAGCCTACTAGCTAGCTAGCTGCCCAGCTAGCTAGCTGTCTGAATAGCCAGTAGCGTGGCTAGCTAGCTGACTGACTAGCCAGCAGCAAATTACGTTTCTGATTTCATTTTTAAATTAAAAATAAAATTTGCTGCGGCGGCCGTTGCTGCTGCCCTCTAGAGTGTCTGTACAGCTGCAATGTTGAACTGTGTGCTGCAGCAGCAAAGCCCCACAAAGATAACTAAACAAAAAAATAAGCACCTGAATAACAAAATAGAACAAATAAATAATAAATAATACATATTTACAAATATATAAATGTAGAAATATAAATGCATTTATAAGCACCTAGCTTGCTTCGCAAGCGGGGGCTCGAGGCGGGCAAAAAAACGCTGGCTAGCTGCGTAGCTAGCTGGTTCAGCTAGTAGCTAGCTGCGGCAGCTAACTGTGCCAGCTGGCATTCTAGCTGCAGCAGCTAGCTGCAACAGCAAGCTGCAGCAGCTTGCTGCAGCAGCTAGCCGCCTGAGTTGGCTGGAGCAGCTAGCTGCGTAAGCTGGCAGCATTAGCTAGCTGCAGCAGCTAGCTGCAGCAGCTCGCTGCGGCAGCTAGCCGCGTAAGCTAGCCCCCTGACCTAGCTGCGACAGCTAGCTACGACAGTAGCTAGCCGCCGTAGTTGCCAGCTGCAGCAGTTCCCTGCAGCATCTCGCCACAGCAGCTAGCCACAACAGCTCGCCGCAGCAGCAGCTAGCTGCTTCAGCAGCTAGCTGCTTCACTCGTTAGCCGCTCCATTGGCTAGCCGCTCCATTGTCTAGAAGCTCCATTGGCTAGCTGCTGCGTTGGCTAGCAGCTCCAGTGGCTAGCCGCTCCACTGGCTAGCAATTTCCTTGGCTAGCAGCTTCCTTGGCTAGCAGCTTCCTTGGCTAGCAGCTGCTGGATACCTCCTGCTGGCTAGCAGCTAGCTGCTGGAGGCTAGCAGCTAGTTGCTGCCGTCCAGCAGCTAGCTTCTAGACAGCAGCAGCTAGCTGCTGGTGGCTAGCTGTCGGAGGATAGCAGCTGCTGGCTAGCAGCTGTTGGCTAGCTGCCGGTGGCTAGCTGCTGGTGGCTAGCTGCTGGTGGCTAGCTGCTGGTGGCTAGCTGCTGGTGGCTAGCTGCCGGTGGCTAGCTGCCGGTGGCTAGCTGCCGGTGGCTAGCTGCTGGCTGCCGGTGGCTAGCTGCTGGTGGCTAGCTGCTGGTGGCTAGCCGCTGGTGGCTAGCTGCCGGTGGCTAGCTGCCGGTGGCTAGCCGCTGGTGGCTAGCTGCTGGTGGCTAGCTGCTGGTGGCTAGCTGCTGGCTAGCTGCTGGTGGCTAGCTGTGTTCGGGCCTGAGGGCCCAGTCCAGCAGCAAAGGCCCGTCTGCGGGCCCCAGCAGCGGCACTTGCAAAGAGCGGATCATGAGGCTGCCGCAGAGGAGGCACTCTTGGGCCAGCAGCCCGTCGAGTGCGCTGCACACGCAGCAGCAGCAGCAGCAGCAGCAGCAGCAGCAGCAGCAGCAGTGGCTGTGGGGCCCCACACTGTTGTTTCTCGGGCCACGTACGCACCCCACTACTCCTTATTCTCTTCTACTCAACTGCGCTGCCTCCCACTCACTTCCTCCGCTTCGCTGCTGCTGCTGCTGTGCTGCTGCTGCTGCTACGCTGCTGCTGTTGCTGCTACGCTGCTGCTGCTGCTACGCTGCTGCTGTTGCTGCTATGCTGCTGCTGCTGCTTCTGCTGCTACGCTGCTCCTGCTCCTGCTGCGCTGCTGCTGCTACACTGCTGCTGGTGCTACGTTGCCACTGCTGCTACTCTTCTGCTGCTGCTACGCTGCTGCTGCTACTATGCTGCTGCTGCTGCTATGCTGCTGCTGCTGCTGCTATGCTGCTGCTGCTGCTGTGCTGCTGCTGCTGCTGCTGCGCACTCTTCTAGGGCCTCCACCTCCGGAGAGTCCTCCTTAATTGCTGCTGCCAGCGCCGCCACGCTGCGGTCAAATCTCCCCAGCTCTTCCGCGTCTGCAGCAGCCCCACACAAACACGCGGGGGCCCACAGTCTGAGCCAGGGGCCCTCAGGGGCCCCCCAGGGGCCCCCTGGGGGCCCCCCAGGGGCCCCCTAGGGGCCCCCCAGGGGCCCCAGAAAGCCCCAAAGGCCCCAATTGCCCTGCAGACCCTCAAGACCCCTAAGATCCCCAAGACGCCTAGGAGGCCCCGCTGGGGGCCCCCCTGGGCCTTTGGAAGCTCTAGAAGGGCCCCCAGGGGGCCCCAGGGGCCCTCAAGAGCTTTGGGGGCCCCGCCGGGGGCCCCGGGGGCCCCCGAGGGGTACTTACTCATGGCGGGGATTAGAAGGGCCTGGACGCATGCAGCATGCATGCAGTGGCCGCAGCGGAAGGCGAAGAATTTGCTGCAGACAACTGCAGCGCCGCAGAGGTCGCAGAGCTGCGCCGCGTCGATCACCAGGCACCTGCGAGCATTTTGGGGGAATTTTCGGTTTTTATTTCAATTATATTTAATTAATTTCATTTATTTCATTAAATAATTCAAAAAAAACGAAAAATTCAGCAAAAACGAAAAAAATGAGCCTGCTGCTGCTGCCCCATGATGCGCCAAACGCAAGACACTGAGCTGTACGTACACCCCACCTGGAGGCGTGGCCAGCAGCAGCAGCAGCAGCAGCAGCAGCAACAGCAGCAGCAGCAGCAGCAGCGGAATGCAGCTTTGTGGTTTAGGGTTTAGGGCTGGGGTTTGGGGAGTGGGTGCGAGAGGCTGCTGAGGGTTTAGGGTTTGGCCTGCAAACCCTAAACCCTCAGCAGCGCCGCAAACCCTAAACCCTCAGCCGTGGTGGGAAGCAGTACTTTTGATTGACGGCCTGCAGCTGGTCTTTCAAGTCCCTAATGGCGCTGAGGTGCTGCTTCAGGGCGTTGCTGCTGCTGCTGCTGCTGCGCTGCGCTGCTGCTGCTGCTGCGCGCAGCGCGGGGGCCACGTCTCGCAGCAAAGCTGCGTCGGGCAGCAGTGGCAGCAAGTCCTTTAAGCGAACACAGGCCAAACCCCAAACCCTAAACCCTAAACCCTAGCAGCAGCAGTAGCTGAGTTTTCCCAAACCCGCCGAGTCCCTAGACCCCAGCAAGATGCAGCCCTAAACCCTAAACCCTAAACCCTAAACCCTAGCAGCAGCAGCAGCAGCCCGCCTCTCCTGCTGTCCCAGCCCGCCTGGTCCCTGGACCCAGCAAGGGACCTTAAACCCTAAACCCTAAACCCTAAACCCTAGATCGCAGCCTGACTTGTATATTGATGCAGTGGTTGGAGCGCTCAACCAGCGCCAGCAAAGAAGCCCCATCTTCCCTTTCCCCCTGCGGGAATCGCAGCGCAGCAGCAGCAGCAGCAGCAGCAGGTGCAGCAGCAGCAGCAGCAGGTGCAGCAGCAGCAGCAGATGCAAGAGGCAGAGCAGCAGCTGCAGCTGGTTCAGCAGCACCATGCTACCTCGGGCCCGAACGGCAGCCTACAACTGAAGTGCTGCACTTCGCTGCTGCTGCTGCTGCTGCTGCTGCTGGCGCCTCGGAGCTGCAGCAGCAGCCTCGGCTTCATGGAGCAGCAGTTCCAACCCCGCACAGCAGCAAGAATAGTCGCGGCCATATTCGGCAGCAGCAGCAGCAGCAGCAGCAGTCTCAGCCGCAAGCGTCAGCAGCAGCAGCACGAGACAGATACAGCAGCAGGAGCAGCAGCAGCTACAGTTGCAGAAGCAGCAGCAGCAGTAGCAGCAGCATTGCGTCAGCAGCAGCAGCAGCAGCAGCACCATGAAGCGGCCGCCGCCGCCGCCGCAGCAGCAGCAGCCACGGCAAGGGGCGACAGCAGCAGCAGCAGCAGCAGCAGCAGCAGCAGCAGCAGCAGCAGACCACGTAGCGGCAAATGTCCCCCCAAAGTCTCTTTTTCAAAACTTCATCGCTGCAGCAAGCTGCTGCTTCTTCCGCTAGCTGCAGGTCCGAAGCAGCTAGCGCCAGCCGCACGGCTTCCTGCAGCGCAGCACGCAAACCCTAAACCCTAAAGCCTAAACCCTAAACCCTAAGCCCTAAGCCCTAAACCCTAGACCCTAAACCCTGAATCCCAAACTCTAAATCACGAACTCTGAACCCTAAGCCCTGGGTACTAAACCTTGCACCCCGAACCCCACGCTCTACGACCTAAACCCTTGACCACGAACACTAAACCCTAAACCCTAAACCCTAAACCCTAAACCCTGGGGCTTGCCTGGTAGCGCTTGAGGTGTACGTACAGCAAAACCACCGAACGCCACTTCCCCTTCGCTTCGCAGTGGCGTAGAGACACCAGAGCGTCGAAGTTGCCGCCGCTTTCCTGGCCGCAGCCAAACCCTAAACCCTAAACCCTAAACCCTAAACCCTAAACCCTAAACCCTAAACCCTAGTGGCTGCAGGGGCTCGCAGCACTTACTGTGATGGCCGAGGCCAACTCCGCCTCGGAGTCGTCAGGGGCTTCCGCCAGCAGCAGCAGCAGCGCCGTCCCCACGCCTGCAGGCGACGCCCAGCTGCAGCAGCAGCTGCTGCTGCTGCTGTTGCTGCTGCTGCTGCTGCTGCTGCTGGGGAGTCCGCTCGCCTGCAGCGAGCCTCCTTTGCCGAACGGGAAAACAATTCCTACACAGAAGCAAACAGCTGTAGCCGTAAATCCCCAAACAGCCCGAGGCGGGCACCTAAACCCTAAACCCTAAACCCTAAACCCTAAACCCTAAACCCTAGGCAGGCCCTTAACTTGGGAGACAAGACATCCTTACCGGTTTTGCTTGCATTCTGCTCAGTGAAGTGCTTCGTGAGCTGCACGGCGGCTTTCCAACACGCGTAGCTTCTGCTGCTGTAGCTGCTGCTGCTGTTGCTGTTGCTGCTGCTGCTGTTGCTGCTGCTGCTGTTGCCGCTGCTGCTGCTGCTCTGCTGCTGCTGGTCCCGCTGCAGCAGGACCACGGGCAGCATGAGGGAGGGCAGCAGCCGCCAGGGCTGCAGGCCGCTGAGCTCCGGGCGCTTTGCTGCAGCAGCAAAGTGCTGCGGGCGGTGCAGCAGCAGCAGCGGGGCATAGGAAGCAAAAGAGCTGCAGCGAACCTCGGGATCTTTTATTGCAACAATTGCTTCTGCAGCATGTCAAGCAGCCCGCATGCAAAGTGTGGCCTTCAGGTGTACAGACACCTCGCCGCGCTGCGCTGCCAGTGCCTGCTGCTGCAGCAGCAGCAGCCTGCTGCTGCTGCTGCTGCTGCTGCTGCTGCGCTGCAGTGGGCCCACCTAGCGCATCGCGGTACTGCGCGGAATTCAAAAACAAACGAGCGCATGCATGTTCGTCTCCAATCAGCAGCAGAAAGTCCCGCAGCAAGCCGCTGCGGCCGCTGCTTTGCAGCAGGCCTACCACCGTCGCCTGCAGCAGCAGCAGCAGCAGCAGCAGCAGCGCAGCAGCAGCAGCTAGCCCTTGCTCCCCCAGTCAACAGCAGCAGCGGGAGATGCAGCGCTCCGGCCGCAGACGCAGCGAAGGCCCCACACGCGTGCAGCAAGATGCTGCAGGCTAAGCAGCAGCTCCCCGCTGCAGCAGCAGCAGCAGCAGCAGGGAGAAGCGCGCAGCAGCAGCAGCAGCAGCAGCAACAGCAAAAAAGTTCATTCAGGGCTCAGCCGCACATGCAACTCATTGACATGCTTGAACTCGCTCAGCAGCTGCCGCAGTTCCTGCTGCGTCCGCTGCTGCGCCTCTTGCAGCGCAGCAACTTGGCTGCTGCTTGCTGCTGCTGCTGCTGCTGCTTCCCCTTCTCCTGCTGCTGCTGCTGCTGCTGAAAGCGGCGGCGAGGCCGCCCGCAGCGCCTCTGCGTCTAAGGCATTTAGCTGCTGCAGCAGCAGCCGCAGCAGCCACGCGAACAGCACCACTTGCTGCGGGGATGGCCGGTCCCCCGGCGCAAGGCTGCGCAGCAGCAAGCACTCCTCTAAACCCTAAACCCTAAACCCTAAACCCTAAACCCTTAACCCTAAACCCTAAACCCTGAATCCCTGTCGCAACTCGCCGCTGGCTCGGCGCGTAGGCAAAGCCGCGAATATTTCCTGTTTCAGCAAAACCCTAGGGTTTAGGGTTTACGGTTCAATCTAAAACCCTACACCCTCTTAAACCCTAAACCCTAAACCCTAAACCCTACAGACTCACAACTGGTAGCTTCTCTGCGCCATCTTCTGTGGGGCTGCTGTCTCTGCGAGCTGCTGCAGCTTGGCTGTCACGTACACCCGGAGGGCCTGCAGCAGCTGCTGCTCTTGCTGCGGCAGCTGCTGCTGCAGCTCCAGCAGCAAGCAGCAGGCGTCGTCGAAGCCGACGCTGCAGCAGCTCGCCAGCGCAGCAGCAGCAGCAACCCACTCCTGCTGCAGCAGCAACGCTTTCGCTTTGCTGCGCAGCACTATTTCTCGCTGCTGCAGCGTGCGGCAGGCAGCTAGGGCCCCGGAGTAGTCATCTGTATATACACCCCACACCCCACACCCCACACGCGGCGAGCTGCAGCAGCTGCAGCAGCTGCAGCAGCTGCAGCAGCTGCAGCAGCTGCAGCAGCGTCGGGCTAAGGAGACTCCTGCTGCTGCACTTTTCTGCAGCGGCAGACGTCTGGCGGCGCAGCAGCAGCAAAAGCTGCACCAAGAGCTGCAGCTGCAACGACTGCAGCAGCAGTAGTTGCTGCAGCAACAGTTGCTGCTGCAGCGGCAGTAGCTGCAGCAGCAGCAAGTCCTCTGGGGCATCAGTGTGGCTTTATTTCATTTGCTGTAGCTCCAACGCTGCTGCCAGCAGCAGCAGCAGCTCACTGCGAGACAGCAGCAGCTCCCAAACATTGGCATCTTCCTGCTGCAGCAGGAGGTGGGCAGCGAACTCCGTGGTCAGCAGCAGAAGCCCCTTGCTGCTGCTGCAGCAGCTGCTGCTGCTGCTGCAGCTGCTGCTGCTGTCCTGCAGCAGCTGCAGCGCCTTCCCGTAAAGGTGCTGCGGCAGCGAGAGAGACATGCTCTGTACAGACACCCCAAACCCAAAGCCAAGCAGCAAAAGCCTTAAGCAGCAGCAAGGACTCCCAGGCGCAGCAGCAGCAAACTCCCAGTGCTGCTGCAGTGCTGCTGCAGTGCTGCTGCAGTGCTGCTGCAGTGTTGCTGCAGTGCTGCTGCAGTGTTGCTGCGGGTGAACAGAAGCTAAGATGCAGCCAAAGCACAGCAGCTAAATTGCAAGTGTAGCGCAGCACAGCAGCAGCACTGCTGCTGCTGTGCTGCTTTAGCTGTGCTGCTGTGCTTCTGTGCTGCTGCTGCTGCGCTGCTGCTGCTGCTGCTGCTGCTGCTGCTGCGGGCCTACGTATTGTCTGGAGATTTTGGAGTAGGCGATGACGCAGTGCTCGTAAAGAAAAAGAAAATGTTTTGAAGAAACAGCAAAAGCTAATGGCTGCGGCCGTTGCTGCGGGTTGAGGGCGTCTGCTGCTGCTGCTGCTGCTGCTGCTGCTGCTGCAGCGCTGTAGTTGCTGCTGCTCGCAGCAGCTACCAACGAAGCTGGAGGCAGCAGCACCACTGCGGGCGGGAACGACAGCAAGTTGCCGCTGCTGCCCGCCGCTGCTGCTGCTGCTGCTGCTGCTGCTGCGGGCAGCCGCAGCTCCCCTATCAGCAGCCCCACCCTGAGTCACAGGCAGCACGCAAACCCTAAACCCTAAACCCTAAACCCTAAACCCTCGATAAACTGGTCCTGCGGCTTTACGGTTTGCTGCTTACGGAGAAAGCCAATGAACAGTGAAGACAGCAGCAGCAGCGCTGGGGCCCGCGCTGCTGCTGCTGCTGCTGCTGTCCACAGCAAGGTAGCTGGGAGCAGCAGCAGCAACACCACCAACCCCGAAGAAGCAAAGCAGCTGTGTGTCTGTAGCCACCAGAACAGCCACGCGGGCATCGGGGCCCAGCTGCAGGAAAACCCCAGAACCCACGGCCCTAAACCCTAAACCCTAAACCCTAAACCCTAAACCCTAAACCCTAAACCCTAGACTCGACGCAGGGGCTCCTATCAGGCGTCACTAGCTCGTATTTGACGGCGCGCGATCACAGCAGCAAGAGCAGCGGCAGCAGCAGCAACTCATAACAGCACAAGCAGCAGCAGCAGCAGCAGCAGCAGCAGCAGCAGCAGCAGCAGCAAACCTCACCCCCGCAGAGACAACAGCAAGGCTTAGGGCTGGGGTTGCCTTTGGCAGCTGCAGCAGCAGCCGCAGCTGCCGCTCTTTGCCGCCGCTAATAAGGCACTCCATGACGCTGCCGCAGCGGGTTCCTGCAGCAAAACCCTAAACCCTAAACCCTAAACCCTAAACCCTAAACCCTAAGTCTAGCAAGCCTCACTTCCCGCCTTTTCCCTCCTGCAGTAGCATCCAGTAGCTGCTGCAGTGCAAGGCAGTTCGAACACGCCAAACCCTAAACCCTCAGCCGCAGCCCCAAACCCTAAACCCTAAACCCTAAACCCTAAACCCTAAACCCTAAACCCTAGAGCGCACCTAGGAGAAAGGCGCAGGCGCCGTCATCTGCTGCTTGGGGCCTCCAGGCTATACACTCAATTATTTTTCCTTTTAGCTGCTGCAGCACAGCAGCAGCACGGCTGCTGCGGTGTACGTACACCGTAACCCCGTTTGCTGCTGCAGCAACCAAGTGGCTGCCGGAAGGCGACAGGAACAAACGCCGCAGCTGCAGCTGCTCTGCAGCACAAACCCTAAACCCTAAACCCTAAACCCTAAACCCTAAACCCTAAACCCTAGGTCTCACACAAAACCACGTGCCTTTGTAGACGCGCTGCACCCCACGCGCCCGACCCTCACCCCTAAACCCTAACCCCCAATTCCCAAACCCTAAACCCTAAACCCTAAACCCTAAACCCTAAACCCTAACCCTTGAAGCTGGCGAATTCAATGAGCTGCATTTGCTGGTTTTCTCCTTCGCAGCGAATGAGAGTCCCGTCCACAGTTGCGATGTACGTACACCCCGCAGCAGCAGCAGCAGCAGCAGCACCGCGCCGCGAGTGCAGCGAGGGGCCCCCCGAAAGCCGCAGAATCCGCAGCTGCAGCGAAGGCCACTCGCTGCTGCTGCTGCTGCTGCTGCTGCTGCTGCTGCTGCTGCTGCTGTGGGGGGCTGTCAGCGGCGCCGACGCGCTCCCCAAAGACTCAAACGCCGGGGGGCCCCTGGGGGCCCCCGGGGCCCCTGGGGGCCCCTGGGGGCCCCTGCCTTTTGCTTCCCAGCCAGCTGGCAGCAGCATACTAAATGGCCGGGACTGCTGCTGCTGCTGCTGCTGCTGCTGCTGCTGTTGCTGCTGCTGAGGCTGGTTGGCGGGATGCTGCTGCTGCTGCTGGACCTGCTGCCGGGGCTGCTGCTGCTGCTGCTGCTGCTGCTGGTGAAGTTGCTGCAGGAGCCGCGGCTGCAGCTGCGGAACGAGCTGCGGCTGCAGCTGCTGCTGCAGCTGCGGCGGTAGCTCTTGCTGCAGCTGGAGGCAGTGCTGCTGCCACTGGCAGCGCTGCAGCAGCAGCAGCAGCAGCAGCTGCTGCTGCTGCAGCTGTTGCTGCTGCTGCTGCGGCTCCGTTGACTGCCCTCGAGCAGCGGCCAATCAGCCAGGGCCCCTTGGCCTCGGGCGTTGGGTCATTTGCTAGGGTTTGCAGCTTCCAACTTAGGGTTTAGGGTTTAGGGTTTAGGGTTTGGGGTTTAGGTTTTCAGGCTCAGGGTTTAGAAGGCCTTCGAGTTAGCTGTCAAGCGCCCAAGACGACGAAGACACAGCAGCAGCCCTGCTGCTGCTGCTGCTGCTGCTGCTGCTGCTGCTGCTAAGCCTCAGCAAGTTGTGTGTATGAGACAGTAATAAGCTCTGAAGTTTTTTCTAAAACAATAGAGAAGCTTTGAGCCTTTTAAGGATAATAGAGTTTTCGGCTGCTGCTGCTGCTGCTGCTGCTGCTGCAGCCGCTGCTGCTGCTGCTGCGGGGCTGAAACAGCAGCGGCGTTGTTGCTGCAGCGCGGCCTTCCTCCTTATCGTTTTCTTGTCTTTATTTATCAATTTTAAGGGTTTAGGGTTTAGGGTTTAGGGTTTGAGGCTTGCCGCCCTAAAGTAGATCCTGGGGTTTGCAAGCTAGGGGTGTGCCTTGGTGGGGTTGGTGTCTTGTCCTGCTGCAGCTTCACTGCTCCTAGGGTTTAGGGTTTAGGGTTTAGGGTTTACAAATTAGGGTTTAGGGTTCATGACTACGCATGCAAGCCGTGCAGCCTGAGGCTCGGCGTCTGGTGGTTCTGCAGCTGCAGCACCAGCACAGTTCGTCAGCCTACGAGCGCTTAGGGTTTAGGGTTTAGGGTTTAGGGTTTAGGGTTTAGGGTCTGAGCCTGCTGAGGGTTTAGCCCGCGCCCCCATGCTGCTGAGGCCTAGGGTTTAGGGTTTAAGAATGGAGGAAGCCAAGGCCCTGCTTGCCAGCTGGCTCGAGGACTCAGGACAAGAGGTAGGAGCCTAGGGTTTAGGGTTTAGGGTTTAGGGTTTAGGGTTTAGGGTTTAGAGTTTAGGGTTTGCGGGGTGCGTTTGCCCAGGTGACTGCTACCTCTCTGAGTCTTGAACTGCAAGTGCCTCTCCTCCTCGCCAAAAAGTAAAACCCTAAACCCTAACCCTAAACCCTAAACCCTAAACCCTAAGCCCTGAGCGTGCAGCTGCAGAAGCCGCGGCGGCAGCTCTTTGCTGCAGCAGCTCTTTGCTGCAGCATCTCGTGCCCGTAGAGGCTGCTACCGCTGCCGCTGCAATTTGCTGCTGCTGCTGCTGCTGCTGCTGCTGCTGCTGCTGCTTCAGGCTGCTGTATGTATACCTGCAGCAGGAGCTGCAGCAG